ACCCAGACTTTCCTATCTACACACACTTCCTCCAGCTTGTCCGGGGGGACCCCAAGGCGTTCCCAGGCCAGCTGCGAGACATAGTCCCTCCAGCGTGTCCTGGGTCTTCCCCGGGGTCTCCTCCCGGTGGGACGTGCCCAGAACACCTCCCCAGGGAGGCGTCCAGGAGGCATCCGGAACAGATGCCCGAGCCACCTCAACTGGTTCCTCTCGACGTGGAGTAGCAGCAGCTCTACTCCGAGCTCCTCCCGTGTGACTGAGCTCCTCACCCTATCTCTAAGGGAGCGCCCAGCCACTCTGCGGAGGAAGCTCATTTCAACCGCTTGTATCCGCGATCTTGTTCTTTCGGTCATTACCCAAAGCTCATGACCATAGGTGAGGGAGGGAACGAAGATTGACCGGTAAATTGAGAGCTTTGCCTTTCGGCTCAGCTCCCTCTTTACCACAACGGTCCGATACAGCGACCGCATCACTGCGCACGCTGCACCGATCCGCCTGTGAATCTCACGCTCCATCCTTCCCTCACTCGTGAACAAGACCCTGAGATACTTGAACTCCTCCACTTGAGGAAAGACCTCTCCACCCACCTGGAGAGGGCAAGGCACCTTTTTCCGGTCGAGCACCATGGCCTCAGATTTGGAGGTGCTGATTCTCATCCCAGCCGCTTCACACTCGGCTGCAAACCGTCCCAGTGTATGTTGTAGGTCCTGGTTTGTTGGAGCCAACAGGACAACATCGTCTGCAAACAGCAGAGACGAAATCCTGTGGTCCCCGAACCGGACCCCCACCGACCCTTGGCTACACCTAGAAATTCTGTCCATGAATACAGTGAACAGAACCGGTGACAAAGGGCAGGCCTGGCGGAGGCCAACATGCACCGGGAACAGGTCTGACTTACTGCCGGCAATGCGCACGCAGCTCTGGCTCCGGTCATACAGGGACCCGACGGCCCGCAGCAGAGGACCCCGGACTCCCGGAGGACCCCCCAAAGGACACCCCAGGAACACGGTCGAACGCCTTTTCCAAATCCACAAAGCACATGTGGACAGGTTGGGCGAACTCCCATGAACCCTCGAGTATCCGATGGAGTGTAGAGCTGGTCCAGTGTTCCGCAGCCGGGGCGAAAACCACACTGCTCCTCCTGAATCCGAGATTCGACCATCGGCCGTAGCCTCCTCTCCAGTACCTTGGAGTAAACCTTACCAGGGAGGCTGAGGAGTGTGATCCCACAATAATTGGAACACACCCTCCAGTCCCCCTTCTTGTAGAGAGGGACCACCACCCCGGTCTGCCACTCCATTGGTACCACCCCCGATTGCCACGCGATGCTGCAGAGACGTGTCAGCCAAGACAGTCCTACAACATCCAGAGACTTTAGATTGTCAGGACGGATCTCATCCACTCCCGGCGCCTTGCCACCAAAGAGGCTGCCAACCACCTTGGGGACCTCTGCCAGGGAGACAGAAGTATCCGCCCCAACATCCTCAGTCTGTGCCTCCGGGATGGAGGGATTGAGAAGAACCTCGAAGTATTCCTTCCACCGTCTGACAATATCCCCAGTCGAGGTCAGCAACTCACCCCCCGCACCATACACAGTGTTGGCAAAGAACTGCTTCCCCATCCTGAGGCGCCAGACAGTTTGCCAGAATCTCTTCGAGGCCGACTGATAGTCATGCTCCATGGACTCCCCGAACTCCTCCCAGTCCCAAGTTTTTGCCTCTGCAACAGCCCGGGCCGCGGCACGCTTGGCCTGCCGGTACTGGACAGCTGCCTCAGGAGTGCTCCGAACCATCATGGCTCGATAGGACTCCTTCTTCAGCCTGACGGCATCCCTTACTGCCGGTGTCCACCACCGTGTTCGGGGGTTGCCGCCGGGACGAGCACCAGAGACCTTGCGACCATAGCTACGAGCCGCCGCATCGGCGATAGAGGAAGAGAACATGGTCCACTCAGACTCGATATCCCCCTCCTCCGCTGAGACCTGGGAGAAGCTCTCCCGGAGGTGTGAGTTGAAAGTCCGTCTGACAGGGGTCTCAGCGAGACATTCCCAGCAGACCCTCACTACACGCTTGGGTCTGCCAGGTCTGACCGGCTTCCTCCCTGTGATGGCTACACCCCACAGGATGACATAATGAGCCTTGTCCCTCCTGATTTGAAGAGGAAAAAGGGGCGGGCTTATGTGGGTTGGTACAGCTGTGGGTAATTGGGCTGGGCAGTATATATATGTTGCGTTATGTTTTATTTGGGGGGTCAGTTTGTTTGTGTTAAGTTCTCATTAAGTTAACATTTGCTTTCTGTAAAGTTCTATTCTTTTGACCTTTTTAATGGCCTGTTTGTCTATATGGCCTATAAACCCTTTTTTTTGCAAGATTTGAACCTTTGTCTTGGTACTTTACTGCTTGGTCCCTAACACTCCCCTGCCAGCGGATCCAACTCACCACCAGGTGGTGATCGGTTGACAGCTCCGCCCCTCTCTTCACCCGAGTGTCCGAAACACGTGGCCGAAGGTCAGATGATACGACAACAAAGTTGATCATCGACCTCCGGCCTAGGGTGTCCTGGTGCCATGTGCACTGGTGGACACCCTTGTGCTCAAACATGGTGTTCGTGATGGACAAACCGTGACTAGCACAGAAGTACAACAACTGAACACCGCTCGGGTTCAGATCAGGGGGGCCGTTCTTCCCGATCACCCCTCTCAAAGTGTCACTGGCGCTTCCCACATGGGCGTTAAAGTCCCCCAGGAGAATGACGGAGTCCCTGGGCGGTGCACTCTCCAGTACCCCTCCCAAGGACTCCAAGAAGGCCGAGTACTCTGCACCGCTGTTAGGCCCGTAGGCCGTCACAACAGTAAAAGACTTGTCCCCCACCCGAAGGCAGAGGGACGCGACCTTCTCATTCACCGTGGAGGTGAGGCCGACTATCTCTAGTTAGTACCTCTTGACCTCCCCCACTAGCTCGGGCTCCTTCCCCCCCAGTGAGGTGACGTTCAACGCCCCAAGAGCCAGATGTTGGGTGTGCGGACTGGGTCGCCGAGGTCTCCGCCTTTGACTGCTGCCCAGTCCTCTCTGCACCGAGCCGCCACGGACCCCTCTGCGAGTGGTGGGCCGGCAGGAGGGACTGCCCACATCGTCCTTTCGGGCTGAGCCCGGCCGGGCCCCGAGGGCTAAGGCCCGGCCACCAGGCGCTCGCTTTCGCCATGCCGGGCGACATCACTTGTTCTCTTCCAGTGCGATCCATGACGTGTTGTGGACTGCGCTTCGTCTGACTCGTGACCTGAGACCTGTCTGCCATGGGAGACCCTACCAGGGGCATGAAGCCCCAGACAGCATAGCTCCCAGGATCACCCGTGTACTCAAACTCCCTCACTATGTTAAGGTGGCAGTCCAGGGGGCATGCCTATATGTCTTTGCTTATTTAAAAACACATCTTACATCTCACATGCTTGTGTGATGCATCATTTTAAAGCTAGAGCCTTCTAGTTTATGTAAATATATACTAAAATAATGTATGTCATTCCTATTTTACTCTGCATCCTTTGAAGAAAAAACAGTTTTTTTGCCTTGTCTAAAAAATTCAATGTATATATGCCCTAACAAAGGCATTCTTCAAGAAGACAATATTCAAACCCTATATGGTTTGAATATTGGTTAGAAAAGTGTTGTTGACAACACTTTTGTGTTGTCAACAACACAAAAGCAACTGCCTCTGTTGCTTTCATATAAGCCTTATACAAGGCAGTTGTAACCCGGTTAATTTTTCAGAGTATTTTCCTTCCCTCCGCAATTCTCGCAATATTTCAGCATCTGTGCGAGACTTGGGCTAGTCGTTGTTTTAAAGATGGCCGCCGCCGTCTAGTATTAGCCGTGTGGGACTCGAGTGCTAGAGCTGCTGCAGGTAGGCATCTAAACCATTATTTACGCTAATTATGGTAGTATAAGGGTCACTGTTATGCCTCCAACATTGCAGACGCCTCTTGCCAACTGCGGAAGGGCTGTGCATTATTTTGATCTGCCAAAATATACAGAGAACTGGTGTTGCATTTGTTTACATGCGGAGCTAACATGCTAACGGGAGTGCACCCTGAGTCGGACAATTTGAAATGCTATTATCCTGAGTCGGACACGCGCACCTTTTTTGTCATGTTTTCATTTTATCAGACGTTTGCAACAACGGCCACGGGAAAGCTGTGGCTAAGCATACTCTACACATGTTAATGTTAATTTGTGCAAAAAATTGGTCATGAATGTGCTAATTTCATTGAGTAATCATGTTTTGAAGTAACTTTTTACGGAAATGCTTGTATGAAGTGCTTAGGCGACGCTCTGACGACAGGAGAGCTCTCATTTTCACTCTCTGTTTTACGGATTAAAAGGCCAAATTCGTCTGTTTTTAACGGTCACATTGGTAGATCAACTATTGTCAATGCACGTTACTAGTCTTATAAATACACAAGTGTAAAATTAGCTATATTAATTAAGTATTTACATTTTTAATCCTGCTGTCCAGTAGCTTGCTCTGAAAATCTAACCCGAGGAGTCTGTTCACAGATTCGGGGTTTCAAAAACACGCTAAAACATCAGTTTATGGATACTAGCAAGTAGCAAGTAGTTAATGGTTAGGTTAGTGCACATCTTATAAATGAATTCATATTAAAAAATGTTTTTACCCAACATTCCTGCAAAATATAGCCCTCCTGAAGTCACAAAATGTAATTTAACGTCAGTTCCCCGATTATACTCCAACAACAGCGCCCCCTTGGGGCTCTACCACATAGCTATCATAGAACAAGTTTCTGTTTGAGTATTTATTATTATTTATAGTATTGCATTGCTTTATGTTTCTGTCTTTTTGTGTATTGAAGGCTAGATCGAGGAGAAAGACATAAGAGATTAGGAAAGGGAAAGATCGAGATAGGATATTATCAAGTTAGTAGGAAGGTAGGTGTGTGTCTGTGCTTTTGTTATCCACAGGACTTAAAGAATTGTGCAGAACATGACATGACATGGACACTGATAAGGTCACAGGTAACATGCACCACAATGTCTCTGCATGCCTAGAACACATTAGAACTTATACAATTGATGTACAATAATTACAATCAATAAAATATAATAAGCAATTTTGTATTTTATAAATGTATAAATGTATTTCTTCTCCATAGATGCCGAGCATACGTGTAATCAGGGAACGACAAAGGAAGTTCCGTATTTGGAATCCGGTGGCCATGCAGGGGGCCATTGATGAAGTGCGGGCAGGCAGGCTCTCTTATAGGCAGGCAGCTGTCCATTTTGGGGTCCCCAAGTCCACCCTGCGAGACCGAGTCAGTGGGAAAGTGGCCTCTGACAGCACCTATGGTCAGAAGCCACTTCTCTCTGAGAAAGATGAGAATGCGCTGGTGGAGTACTGCCTGTACTCCGCCAGCTTTGGATTCCCACTGACAAAGTCACAGGTGGTGACCCACGCTCTGGCAATTTTCAACCGGCGCCACCCACAAACACCAAAGGTGGCGCTGAGCCAGACGTGGTGGGTCAACTTCAGGGAGAGACAAAAACAACTGCTCACCACCAGGACCCCAGATATTATTGACCGTGGGAGAGCATCCTGTGCGAAGAGGGGGCCTGTCGAGGACTATTTCAATCTACTGTCCTCGACAATGGACAGGTACGGGCTGAGAGGGAAACCCCACTGCATCTACAACTGCGACGAGACGGGGTTTCAGCTGGACAGCCAGAGGAGGAAAGTCGTCGTGCCCCGGGGTACCAAGCACACTTACAGACAGGCTCCAGGCACCAGGGAGCATATCACCGTCCTGGCCTGTTTAAATGCGGCTGGGGAGGATATCCCCCCATTCATTATCTACAAGGGGGGATATCCGGGGGGCCCTTATAATAAGGAAGGGGTCCCCAATGCTCTTTATGGGAAGTCACCGGCTGGATATATGGACAATGATCTGTTTGTGAAGTGGTTTAACCAGCACTTCCTAAAACATGCCACCCAGGAGCGCCCGCTGCTGCTTGTTATGGACGGTCATGCATCCCACCTCGGGCCAGAGCTGATCCAGGCGGCACAGAGGGCAGGGGTCATCCTTTTGTGCCTCCCGCCGCACACGTCACACATCCTTCAGCCCTTGGATGTGAGTTTTTTTGGACCCTTGAAGGCAGATTTTGCAGGCACAACTGGGGATCTGTCGGCTGTGAGCCACTCCTTTACACTTTCCAAAAAGGAGTTTTCAAGGGTCCTCAAAAACTCATATCTGAAGATGAGGGATAGAGGCGTTGTGGTTGGAGGCTTCAGAAAGTGTGGCCTCTACCCCTTGGATCCGGGGGCCGTTGACTGGTCCCGGATCATGCCATATGGGCCTCCACTACCACCGCCTCCTCCTCCTCCACCACCACCACCGCCTCCACTACCACCGCCTCCTCCTCCTCCTCCACCACCACCGCCTTCTCCACCACCGCCTTCTCCACCACCGCCTTCTCCACCACCGCCTTCTCCACCACCGCCTTCTCCACCACCGCCTCCTCCACCACCGCCTTCTCCACCACCGCCTTCTCCACCACCGCCGTCTCCACCACCGCCTTCTCCACCACCGCCTTCTCCACCACCGCCTTCTCCACCACCGCCTTCTCCACCACCGCGTGATTCCATCCTAGCCCATCCTCTGGTGGTGTCGGGAAGGATCCCCCCTGACCTGGCTGACCTGCTAATGGAGGTGAAATTCCATAGAAGCCAAGGCAGGTTAAGGAGGAACATTTCAAAGGCGCGCATCTTGACAGCGGAGGACATGGCTACCACCATCGAGGAGGCAGAAGACAGAGCTGCGAGGAGGGAGGCTCAAGCTCTGGCCAGAAGAGACAGAGAGCAGCAGCGGGCTGAAGAGATCCAGCTGGAAGCCACTTCCGCCATAGCTGGTGACTCCCAGCCCAGCCGCATCAGTGCAAACCCCGGGTGCTCATCTGCCAGTTCCGGACATTCCACCACCGGCCTCTCAGCCCCTCCAATCCCCTTTCAAACCTCCCACGGTCTTCAGCTGCCTGACTCTCCTCGAATACCAACTAGGAGCCTGCCTGCAGCACCGGCCCAACATATTCGAGGTACTGTGTTACTAGGACCATTCTCTTCATTTATGCATTTTTTTAAAAATTCATTATTACTCAACTATGTGTCTCTGTGTTTGTTCACCTGTAGAACCATCTACATCAAGAGGCCCCCTAGGTCCCAGAAAACGAATAACTAAGTATTCCTTACTAGGATCTTCAATATTTAAATATTTACAAACAGAAAAACATCATTTATATCTGTTTATTATGCCTATATCAAATAAAAGAACGGGTAACATAAGTTTTTTTTTTCTTCCAGGTCTCCAGTCGTTCTCTAGCCCTTCCTCCACCAGACCCATGGCATCTGTTGGTAATAAAATAGAATAGACCATTGGAGGCATATTTCAAAGATATAACACTGAGACCGTCCGTATGTATACCATAGGCATACAATAGTCATCGTCTCAGATTCACATTGAGTGGAATTCCTCCCACTGTTTAATAACATTTGCAAATACTGCACTACCTCCCTAAAACCTGACATTACTGAAACTAGTAACACCATCAATGTCAGCTAGTGTTTGTTTGCCTAGTTAATTTAGTCTTAATAATTAAGATGTTATTAATGATTCTCCGTTTTTACAGCTCCCCCGGCCAAAAGAGCCAAAAAAGGATGTGGAATGTGCAGAAAGGTGGATCCACCCGGCCAAGGAAAGACGGTGCCATGGGTCCAGTGTGACACCTGCCACAGCTGGTTCCATTGGGTCTGCGTGTCATGGGAGGAAGGGCTAGGGGATTTTATTTGTTTTTGGTGCCGAGACATGTAGCGCTATGATGATATGAAATCTTTTCTTACATGAGTTTATTTGAATTATTGTTTAGTATCACATTTTTATTAGTTTACTTGAATATTTCATTATTTTTTAGTATCACATTTTCATTAGTTTATTTGAATATTTTTTATGCTATATTTTTAATAGTTTATTGGAATATTTTGTATACTACATCTTTATTTGAATATTTTTCTACTACATTTTCATTTGAATATTTTTATTTTATATTGCATTTTTACATCTTATTGCATAGCATGTCTCACACAATAAAAAATTGACTATTTGAATTTCTTGTTTTTGCAATAAACTGTATGTAATATGAATTCACAATAATAACAGTTTCTACATACTGACAGTTTGAGCAGTAAAGGTGTCTCTAAAGCTGACAGAGAGCATGTGGAGGGATTTCTGTCACACTCTCCTCTTTTCGGCTGGTGATCATAGGAGAACAAAACAATCCGGAAACACTTATTTTTTCTGCTGAAAGTAGACAGTTTAGTCTTTCAGAATCTAGTCATAGCCATTATTATTATAGATCCATGGTCATAGCACACAATATTCTGTGGGTGTTGAAAATCAGTGAAATCATCGAAATGGCTGGTAGTCAATGAGCAAAGCCTCATAGTTTCTTGATGGGATTTTAAAATTTGCATTACAGTCTTAGGTGATGAAATTGTACAATAAAAAGACATGCAATAGAGAAAATATCCACTAGATGGGGTCATACACTGATATGTTGTAAATGCGTGTGGGGAAACACGGAAATAATTAACGCTAATGGGATAATACATATGAAAGTTATTCAAATTAATCATAAGACAAGGTCATAATAGGGATCAACGACTCAGATGTGAACTAAGTTTACGTTGCACAATATTAATCTAGCGCTAGCTACAGTCCGACTCAGGTTTTTAAGCTGTCCGACTCAGGATAATACCGCTGTCCGACTCAGGCTAATACTTCCGGCTCGCGAAAATCACGAGGTTTGTGGTCTTCTTTGTAACATTACAAAACAACTAACAAAGACAATTGCCCATGTCATACACCATTAGAAACCTAAGAAAATGAACTTTAGTCTGATGTCAGTTAAATCAGCGAGAGGTGCAGACAAACAAATTTATGACCGGTTGAAGGTAAAAAACATACTCATTTTTAGCCCGAAGTGTCCGACTTAGGAAACAGATACGCTAGTTTTTTGAATAAAAAGGTGATATAATTTTGAATATTTAAAGGTACATTACCGTGAAGTACCTTTTTTTTTATGGAAGATTTTAAATGAGCTTAACATTGCTGTCTCTCCGTTAGTATGGATACATTCGTTTTTCATTGCTGTCTCTCCGTTACTATGGATACATTAGTTTATGGTTGCCGTCTCTCAGTTACTATGGATACATTAGTTTTTCATTGCTGTCTCTCCGTTACTATGGATACATTAGTTTAACGTTGCTGTCTCTTCGTTACTATGGATACATTAGTTTATGGTTGCTGTCTCTCTGGATACATTAGTTTATTGTTGCTGTCTCTTTGTTACTATGGATACATTAGTTTATCGTTGCTGTCTCTCTGTTTCTATGGATACTTTATTGTTGCTGTCTCTCCGTTACTATGGATACATTAGTTTATGGTTGCTGTCTCTCTGTTACTATGGATACATTAGTTTATCATTGCTTTCTCTCCGTTACTATGGATACATTAGTTTATGGTTGCTGTCTTTCTGGATACATTAGTTTATTGTTGCTGTCTCTTTGTTACTATGGATACATTAGTTTAACGTTACTGTCTCTTCGTTACTATGGATACATTAGTTTATGGTTGCTGTCTCTCTGGATACATTAGTTTATTGTTGCTGTCTCTTTGTTACTATGGATACATTAGTTTATCGTTGCTGTCTCTCTGTTTCTATGGATACTTTATTGTTGCTGTCTCTCCGTTACTATGGATACATTAGTTTATGGTTGCTGTCTCTCTGTTACTATGGATAAATTAGTTTATCATTGCTTTCTCTCCGTTACTATGGATACATTAGTTTATGGTTGCTGTCTTTCTGGATACATTAGTTTATTGTTGCTGTCTCTTTGTTACTATGGATACATTAGTTTATCGTTGCTGTCTCTCTGTTTCTATGGATACTTTATTGTTGCTGTCTCTCCGTTACTATGGATACATTAGTTTATGGTTGCTGTCTCTCCGTTACTATGGATACATTAGTTTAACGTTGCTGTCTCTCTGTTACTATGGATACATTAGTTTATCATTGCTGTCTCTCTGTTACTATGGATACATTAGTTTATGGTTGCTGTCTCTCTGGATACATTAGTTTATTGTTGCTGTCTCTTTGTTACTATGGATACATTAGTTTAACGTTGCTGTCTCTCTGTTTCTATGAATACTTTATCGTTGCTGTCTCTCCGTTACTATGGATACATTAGTTTTTTGTTGTTGTCTCTCCGTTACCATGGATACATTAGTTTAACGTTGCTGTCTCTCCGTTACTATGGATTAGGGCTGGGCGATATAAACGGTATAAGCGGTATGCGATATAAATTTGGCCATAAATTAGCCTAGCAGACACCACTGGAAACAACGAACAACAGCACGGCATTCACACCATGTTTCTGTCTCTGTATTGTTGTCACAGCGGCCCCAGCAGAGGTAAATACACACACAGTAATCACAGTTTAAGCGTCTACCTTTTGGCCAATCAGTGTCAAAGGGGCGTAGGCTCGAAGCGCCAGCGTGAGCCAAAATAGATCTGTGTGCCGTGTGCGCAGCATCATCACAGCAGAAGTTTGCAAAAGTTAGCGTCAGATTCGGACCTCCGCGGTCAATATCTCACGAAAGCTACTTTGAAAATTAATTGTGCCAAAATGATCATTTACATCAATTGTTCAAATCCAATGTGCTGTTTTAATGCACATAAATCCATTGAATCATCCAGTTCACTGCAAGCGCAGAGAAAAGCGCTTAGGGAGCGTCAACAAATGGCAAGACCAGCTTTGTAAATGAACAATAGGTTTTACTGAAGTCATGTACCTGCACAAAACTCTCAGACACTATAAATAATGACCATGTCTAACTTCTACAGACTTTGATTTCAACATTTGTGAGTTTTTTATATTTTAAAGGAATGCATATGTTTTTCTTTTTAAAAATTGCTTTTACAGTGAATGGTATTTTCTGTAACATACATAAATAATGTATGTTACATTTGTCTCTTTATTTGTCTCACAACTGAATAACTCAAAATATATATATATATTAGATTCTAATATATAAATTGGATTCTAATATATAAATAAGTAACAATCTTGACTATTTTATGCAAGAACCTGCTAGACCTATATTGAAATTCACACACCAAATTATACTGCAATATATACTGTCTACCGCCTGTGTCCCAAATTATACCGCAATATGAATTTTAGGCCATATCGCCCACCCCTACTATGGATACAATAGTTTAACGTTGCAGTTAGAGATGCAGCGATCCATCTTTTTAACTACCGATACCAGAGCTATGGGTATCTGCCGATACCGATATTGACCGATACCGGAAATGATCACACTAGGGCTGGGCGATAAAACGATAACGATATATATCGCGATAGACATGTGTTCGATATCAATACAGAATGGGGTCAATAGAATGTTCGATAGTTTAACTTAACTCCGTCAGGAAAAACAGAAAGAAAACACCGGAAGTAAAGCCGACTCATAAGCGCGCGGCATTGTGGGGGATGTAGGCAGAGGCTTCTCGACCAATAACAGCCGAGCAGGAACCGCAAAACTTTCTGGGAAATGCAAAAACACCAACAACCGCACCATGCGTAGCGTCCATGGATCTATAGCTCGTGTTTCAATGCCGTGTCAATGGTTATGCACGTACGTGCGCGGAATAACATGTGCGGCGGCAGAGGCAGTGGACAGACCCGATGTATTCGGCGAAAGCAAGAGATTAACTTTTTCCTCGGGAAGCATGTGCGGCACAGAGAGCCGCACGGAGCGGTCACGGGGACACAAGACCCTCGAAAACAGCTAAACCAGGAGCTAAACCAGGAATAAAAAACCAGGAAAACCAGGATTAAACCAGGACTAACAACGAGGGACACAGTGTGAACATATTCCTCCAGCCTCATTCCCCCGTGACTGTAAACAAGGCTGCTAAGGTTGGTTAGCCCACACAACAAATGTATTTATTTAGGTTAAAAAAAAAAAAACTCAATATATATTGTTGTCGACCGATATGAATGACTTATATCGTGATATAGTTTTCAGCCGTATCGCCCAGCCCTAGATCACACTTAAATGTATTAAATAATTGAACTCTTTAGTTCATCCACTGCTTTTGCAGTTACTTGAACAAAGCGTTAAACTTTCCAGATAAAAATGGATTCAACATAAATGTGCAAAACTGCAACTATAAAGAGCTGCTCAATGTTCACATTAAACTTTCCAGCATTGTATTATACCTTATACATTTATTGAATATAAACGCACTTATATTAAACGTTTTTGAATAAAAAAACACAACAAACAAAACACGCTGCATGACAATGTAATTAGATTATAGTACCGTAGCTGGATTTCAGATCCAAATGGTCGATGGGGCTGCGAGCTCATGATGAACTCCAACACTTTTGTTGCTGACAGCTTTTTGTGACACTGCATCAGTGTCATCTGTGTCTCGTTGTTTTCACGTAATCTCCTTTCGCTGCACAAACTCCCCATTCTGTTTCTCGTGGTGCTTAGTCTTGTTGTATTTCGCTAGTTTACCGCCGCATGAGGTTGTCTGACTCAAAGGTAGTGTAAAAAATGCCGCACGAACAACGCTGATTCTTTCCTGCTCCGTGCTCTGCCGTGTTGTTGTTGCGAAGGCTCGTAATAGCCTTCGCAATGTCCGCACATTCTACGCGGTTACTGCACCCCCGGCATGTTTTAGCGCAAAAAAGTGATTTGGCCGATTTGTTTACCTACAGCTAGCGGCGGCTAGACTG